CTTGATAACCACAGCAGCTCACGGGGATGAGAGGGAACCAGGGAAAAATTGCTCCCTTGTTAAATACAAACTTGTTGATAACCTGTTGTATCTGTAGACACAATTCAAGTTTTCAGTCTCCCCAGAGCTGAGGTTTAGATTACAGATGAATTATATAATCAGTGTTGGGTCCATTTCTCTTGTGAATTGGCCTCCATAGTATTTATGAAAGTATCTTCCTCGACTGGCTCTATAATTATTTAAGCCAGATTGATTATTTTGAAACAAACTGAGAAATAAATATGGACTTGCTACATTGATCACCTCCTTGGTATTGGGGAGGGGTGGGGGTAGGGAATGGAAGAAGGGAAGTGGGAAGGAAGGAGTGCTGGGAGAATAGTTCACCCAGGCCCAAACTTCCAGTTTGACTCTTCCTAAATTCTTTGCTTCCAAATTCCTAAGTTTAGAATGCAGTAATGTTAACCCCAGAAACTCGGAAGACCTTTAGTATATGGTTTAGGAATAAAAGAGTAGCAAAGGGAAAGGAATTCAAGATTTTAAAAACCATTATTTGAATACATTTATTGCAACAAGAATGCTGTTATAAATATGCACAAGCAAAGGCCATCTTTCCCTAGGAATTGTCAGGTTCCAAGTTGGAAGGAGACATCTTTTGTAAAAAACTTCCATGGGTTCCTGCTTTGAGAATAAGCATCTATTGCTAAATCTCTACTATGATTTTAAATGATCACAGCACATGCCACTTGATACAGCTCTAAACTGAAGTGTCTGCTTTCCCAGTGGGCTGTCCCTCCCCCCTTGCAATAACCCTTCTTCCAGCCTCAAGAAACAGCATACCATCTTCTGGTCAACAGTCTGGACTTATGGGTTGGTGGGGGGGGGGGGTATGACCCAATGATAGCATGCAGGGTATCTATTCTTACAGTCAAACAGAGAATACAGCTTTTACTCTAGCGAACTTGACACTCAGCTGTTATTCCATCTAGCTATCATTATCTATGGATAATGCAGCAAAGAGGTTGGGGGCTACTTTTCAATAGTTTATTGTATTTTCTTAAATACCCTTTCTGGAAACTTTCAGAAACAAAACATAAAAAAATTATATACTTTATTACAAATGGTAAACTCAGAATGCTTCAAATCTCTTATTTACAAACAACACTGGGCAGGACACCCAAACAAACAAACATGGAATAACTTACAAAGGCAGGAAGCTGTTTATTGACAGTAATCAGCTTTCATCAAATTAAAAAAAATATATATATATGTACATACACAGTTGAGGGAGGCAGGCCAGGGGAGTTCATCTGCAGTCTAGCCTGGCACTCACAAGCCTCCCTCCCCCCCCAGCCCTCCCTGCTTTGTGTTCTTAAGGAGCACTACAGAAGCAATCTACAGTCTCTATTGCAGTTTGTAACCCACCCCCGCCCCCCTTTAATACTGAATGAGATCGAATGTTAGGTCCATGCAGTTCTTGGTCAATGTTAACGAAAAGTCCATCGTTCTGGCCGCGCGGGCACAGCCCGTTCGCAAAGCCTGGCAGCCAACAGGCCGCCGCTCTCTGGCTCCACGCCAAGGCAAGGCGCGCCACGTCCTTCCCACTCCAGCACACTGGGGGCGCCGTCAGGACGCAACCCAGTCCATCTTGTGTACCCTTGGCTTCGGTACTCCGGCACTTTTTTTTTCTTTCGCAACCAGTCAAGTTCTCAAGTCTGTCTCTGATATTTTTTTTTTCTTCCACTGCCCCTCAGCCCTGACAGTCTGTCCTCAAAACGTTTGCAACTGCTGCGTTAGCATGAGCTGGCACCCACTGTTAACGTGGTTCATGACTTTCTGTTTAAGCTGTGCCACCTGTTCCCTGAGCATGTTGGCTGTGGACGCCAGCTCCGAGTTTTGCGCTTTCAAGGTTTTCACTTTTTCCTCTAGCCGGGCGATCCTCTCCAGCTTCCTTTTCCGGCACTTGGAGGCAGCGATGCGGTTCCTCATGCGCTTCCTCTCCGCCTTGATCCGCTCCTGAGACTCCATGTCGATGGGGGACAGGGGCGGGGTCTCTCCCGGCATCTCGGGCACGGTCTGCGGCTCTTCCTTCAGGGCTTGCAGCCGCGGGTGCTGCACCGGGATCTGTTGGGGCAAGTGGTGCGGCGGCTGAGGCGGCTGCTGCTGCTGCTGGGGCTGCGATGGAAAGGCCAGCCCGGCCGCGCCGTAGGAGGGCGCCCCGCCGCCGCTGCTCAGCGCGCCCGGGTTGAAGTTGCTGAGGTTGGCGTAGACCGGGGGCTCACTGTGCAGGCTGGCGCTGTAGCCGCCGCCGCCGCCGCCAGCGCCTGCTACCGAAGCCACCGCGGGAGCCACCATGCCCGCCCCGCTGACCGGTTGTGCCGCGGACGTGACGCTGGGCAGCGTGTTCTGGCTATGCAGTTCGGCCAGGGCGCGCACGAAGCCCTCGGCGAAGCCCTCCTGCTCATCGGTCACGTTCTTGGGGCACAAGAACTGGGTGGGGGTCGGCGTGGTGGTGATGTGCCCGTTGCTGGACTGGATGATCAGGCGCTCCAGCTCGGGCGACGCCAGCTTGAGCAGCCCCACGTCGGGCGACGTGAGGAGGTCCGAGTTCTTGGCGCGGAGGTGCGGCTTCAGGCTGCCCACCGGGTCGGCCAGGTTCAAGGTCATGCTCTGTTTCAGGATCTTAGGGTTACTGTAGCCGTAGGCGCCGCTCTCGGACTGGAGGAACGAGGCGTTGAGGGCATCGTCGTAGAAGGTCGTTTCCATCTTTGCAGTCATAGAACGGTCGGTCAGTTCACGCGGGGCTGGCCTGGGCTGTGCGCTGAAGTTTCGGGGCCGCAACAGCGCGCTGGGGAGCGGGGGACACCCGCGCGTCCCTGCTTCGGCGGTAAGTAAAGTTTGTCTCAGCGCGCGCGCTGCGGCCGGCAGTGCTGCCCCCTGCGCCCTCCTCCCCAGCTCGCTCCGGGGAGCGCAGGGTTAAGACACCGCCTGCACTCGCGTTGGTCGCCTCCCGCGCGCTGCCGGGCTTTGAAAAGTCGCGGTCACTCACCGAGCGCTCTCGGGTAGTAAGTGGTTCCTCGGACACGGCGGGCCAGATCCAGAGGAGACAGCGGCTCTCCGGCGGCGCTGACCACGGCAGTCGTCACGGAATTCTCGGTGGAAGCCCGCGATCGGGCTCCGCCGCCCGGACTCCGACAACTGTCCCCTCCTCCGCTGTGAGGGGGAGGGGGACGCTCGGCGGCGGCCGCGGCTTAGCGCTCGCCCAACTTCAGCCGCCTGTGCGAGCCGGGCTGAGTGTATGGAGTAGGTTCCTCTTCTCCCTTTTCTTTACGGTCTCGGGGGCAGCCGAAGGCGCAGAAGGGGTTTGCAAAAGTTCGCTCCGGGCCACTTGTTCCCCCGCCCGGTCTTCTGGGTCAGGAAAGTTGCTGGCCGGCGTAGCCGCACGCCGATCTCCTCGCGCGGGCAGGCGCCGCTCTCGATGCTGTCAGCAGTGCCGGGACTGGGGAGCTGCTTCTCCGGGGAAGGCGGGAGAAGGGACTCTCCAAGTGCTCCCCCAAACGCCGGTGCTGGAGCCGCGGGCGCTGGATCCAGGTAGTTGGTGAGAAAAGGAGGACAAACCGAGGAGCAGCCCGGAGTCCGCGGCCGTCCAGGTTGGCCGAGTCCGCGTCCGTCTCTCTGTCTGCCTTCCCTGCCTGAGCGCGGTCCTGCCCGGACGTCTCTGCCACACTCAGTGCAACTCTGAGTCCTTATCCAGCCTGAGCTCAACACTTATCTGCTACCAGTCAACCCCTAAAAATAGCCCATGATGTCACCCCAAGGCCTTCCCATTGGCTCGCGTCGCCCTCAGGGGGGCGGGCCCGCCTGTCGCCATGGAGACCTCACCCTAGAAGATTCTTCTCTGGGCCCGCGAAGGCTCACGGGATGAGGTAATGCTCCGCTGCGCTCCTACAGTTGGGCCCTTCTTTCTCCTCCTCCCTCCCCCTCCCGCGCGGCGCTCCGGCTTGTGTTCCCGGGTTCCCTCCCCGGCGCGTCTTTCCCGGCCCGCCCGGTGCATTGTGGGCTGACGTCTTGGTTTGGCTGTCTAGTGACGGAGGCTGCCGGGTCGGCTGGACCCTTGCGGCGTCTGTCGGAGGCGGGCTCAAGTTCAGGGTTGGGGACCCGGACCGAGACGCGGGGATCCAGAAAGCTGGGGAGGCGCGCTAGTGGCCCGGGGCGGAAGGCCTGGGTGGGGAATGGAGGTGGCGCGCGCGCACGCACGCGCACACACACACACACACACACACACACACACTCGTGAAGGGGCCGAGCGACCTGAGCTCTAGCAGGCTACACACACACACACACACACACACTCGTGAAGGGGCCGAGCGACCTGAGCTCCAGCAGGCTCCGCACTCCCGCACTTCCGGGAGGCAGCGGCGCGGGTTAAGGTGGTTGCGTGCGTGCGCTCCGGGTGCGGGAGCGCAAGAGTGGATTGGAGTTGAACCGGCTCGCGAGTGTCCCTCCCAGGTTGAGCACGCGTGGAAGTTTGTCTCTTGGTTAAGTTCCGGAGGAGGATCTGCGCCGCTGTTTGCTCTCCCTGGAAGCCAGAGATTTGCGGTTCTAGGAACCAGCTCCTCAGGGTCCTCGGCACAACAGTTCACCCTCTGGGGACATGCGGGGAGGGGCTCGCTTTGCCTCAGAGGGACGCGCTTTCTAGAGGTGAAATAAAGCTGCGACCCCAGCGTCCATGGGGGGGCCGAAACCAACATTTAAGGGTTCAAAGCTCGGGAAACCCCAGCGATCGCCTGTGCTCGCGCGCGCACACAGCTTGCGCACGCCCTTTCCCCCCTCCTGATTTGCTTCTGGGAAAACAAGTCTTGAGAGCCGCCGACTCGCCCGAAAGTCACGCTGCCTAAGCGGGAGAACCCTGGTAGATGCAGGCTAAACCCTCCCCTCCCCGCCCGCTGGTGGATCCATATCCTGTGCGGCCTCTAGGAAGCGCTAGACACATGTAAGTGGTTTCTTTCCTAGGGTTCTGCTAACCGACCTCCATCCTCCACCCCTTAGGACTAAAGAGGTGGCAAACCCCGTTCTCTCATGGAATAAGTACAAATCTCGGAACTTCTCTGAGCTTTATTGGCCTCATCTACAAGTAGAGCGGATGAGGTCCACCGTACCGGGGTGCTAGACATTAGTGTTAACTTTCTTGACTCCAGGACTAGAAGGTGTTTAACTGGTTGTCCCCTTCCCTGCCGGCTTCGGCGTACTCCCAGGGCCTTCTCGGAGTACCAGGCTACAGGGGTGATTTGGCAGGAGCCGGTGAGCAAGGTAGCAAAGGGCTGTGAGCCAGCTCTTCCCCAAGCCCTCTTTCAGCCCAGGACTTGAGGTTTGGAGTTGGACCTTAAGTTACGAGGTTCTAATTTGGACTTGGCTGCCTCAGAACTCAGCCCAGGGTTTTTATTCCTGTAGCTTTAAGATATTTTGCCTTTGAGCATTCAGAACCCAATAGCAGCTGGTATCGGTGGGAAACGGGCCAGCTCTGTTTTACTCCGTGTGCTCACTTCACTTTCACTCAGGCTGCAGAGGGTAACTAACTGGCTGCTGCCAGCCAAGCGTTGACCTTTGTGGGGGCAGGGTAGAGCAGGATTTCTGTGAAGTCCAGATCCATTTACTTCCCCCAAAGAGAGAACGAGTTCTCCTGATCGTTTTTGTCAAGGAGCTCATATTCTACATGATTTATGATAACAGTAATAAAAGTAAGTTTTGTCCATTAAACACCCACTACCTGCCAGTTAGTTCAAGCAGTTTAAATTTGCTGCTTTCTTCCCACAACCATCTTGAGAGGCATACATTTTTACCTAGACTTCACACAGGAGGAAATAATCCCAGAAAGTCTCCGTGTCTTGCTTGGGGCACACAGACAGCTGGAAAGTGACCTTAAGTCTGTGTTACATTCCTTTGTGTTTTCTGCACTCTGGCAAACTTTCCCTCAAAGCCTTGGTTATCTGCTTGGGAAGTGGTGCTGATGGCGTGGCTGTTATTCTCTTGTTCCTGTATTCAGAAACTCCCAGACTTAGGACTTTGTGTAAATATGTCTCTTTTGCCCAAGGGTCCTGTGTATCTTCTGCCTTCTGGCTTAGGAGGCTAATTTTCTACTTAGGTTAATAAATAGCACGTAAAGATCTGTTCTTGTTAATGCCTCTGCTTGCAAGCCATCCTCAGCGTCCTCTTTGCCTGAGAGAAGGGATGTTTCACAGTCCAGACACAGCCTCATCATACTGGAAGCTCAGTTGGGAAGGCCTGGGTTATGCTACCTAAACCCATCATCCCAGAGGCTGTAGTCAGTGAAAGATTGTTTCTTGCTCCTTCTCACTACTTGCCCACTGTGGCTGTGCAGGGAACTCTGTCCACTGTCCTGCTTCTCACTAGTAGTGACTAAAGGGGGAACTCAGCTAAGTTCTGACTGGCTCTCAGTGTATCCACCTGGAAATGGCACCTTCTTTGCTCATATGCTGCTGGCCAAAGCGAGTCACGAGGCCATGCCTGAGACGAGAGTCTGAAAGGGGTCCTTCCTGCCTTCTTTCCTTCTTCAGGGGATACAGCCCCAACAACCCTTCAGTTACAGCATGAAGTTCACATCCGGGCTTTGAGAGGTAATGTATAGAGACATCAGGTCCAGGTGTGTGTCTTCTCTGAGGGAGCGCTAGCTACCCTGCACCACATTCAGTTTGTATGGTGAGGCAGAGACTGAAGTTCTGCTTTGGAAGGGAAAGAACCGAGGTCACAGTAGATACCAGCCCCTGAGTGTTTTCAGGACCCCTCTCCATCCACTCCTGCAATTAGGGCCTGGTTCTGCTTGTATGACCGCTTTCTTTGACCCTGGGTTTGCCCTCAGTCTTCCAAAGACTTAATGAAGGCCCTGGGCTTTAAAAAAATATAAGGGATCCATTGTTTAAGTGTTGAAGATGGTCTTTTGTAATGCCGGTTAGTTGTAATTCCCATACAAGTAGAATACCAGGTATGCCGTGTGCCAGTAGCCACAGCAACTGTTCTCTTCTGGTCCCATTCCAGTGGTTTGCCCTGTTTCTCTGCTTTCTTACTCTTCTGCCTCCTGTTCTACTCATCTCTTTCTTCTTGCTTTTGGCTTTGTTTTGGGTATGTTAGGCTTAGAAGATGGGAAAGTTGTGCCTTTCTTTTCCTCTCCAGTGCTGAATGAACATATTAGGTACTATCCTAGTGTGTACTGAGGGGTTGGTTTGGTTAGTTCAAGATAGAGTCTTGTTACAGCCCAGGCTGGCCTTGAAGGCAACCATCCTGCTCTAACTCCCAAACACTGAGGTCTTCACCATCATGTTCTGTGTATCTTGAGAATTTTAACAATAGGTTCTTACCCCTTGAACAGATCCTTGCTTCAAGGCTGACTTCTCCAGGCCCTTCCCTAATTTATTTTATTTTGTTGGGATTGCCTCTGTTCAACCTTCAAACCCCCAAATTTTGGGATTTTTCTCTTCCCTTTTGTTCTTACCTATGATGTGGCCACATCTACCTTGAGCACATTTCGGTAGCCACCTCCAAATGCTCCTGACCTGATGTTCCAACCTCTTGCTTTCTCTCCTTAGGTTCTGTTGTAAGGCACTGTCCATAAGATCAGTTGTACCTACTTGAGAAAGATCATCACAGTTGGGTGTGTGGACTGTTGACATCCCCTACCTCAAAGGAGGGATAGACAGTGTCATGGACCCTCACCAGAGTATCCAGTCAATCATTCCTGCCACCTATGCACCTACTTGGATTTGGCCATAGGGTCTCAGGGGGTGGATAGATTACATAGGTTGGGGAAGATGTGGGGAAAGAGTCTCCATCTGCACAGCCCCAGGGGAGCTATCATCTATGCTGGTGCAGACCTTGCAGCTCAACTGCTTCAGAGTCTCCCACAATCCTGCCTATAGCTCTCCATCGTGTTCTATGAGAAAGCCTAATGAACTCATTGGTTCCCCTGGTGAAATTTGGTAAAATCAAACTTTGTTGGTGGGCCCTTAGAAGTCAGAGATAGGTGCTACTTAGTCCCTCCCACCTCCACTACCTCATCACTCACCCAGGGGGGAAATTCTGGTGACAGGTTCATGATCTGTCTCTTAATTTATGACAGGTGAGGTTTGCCAAAAAGATCACTATCCTTTCAGCCTGTGTTCTTAGGTGTTGTCCAGTCTAGATGAATGTCTGGCTTTTATGTTTATTGGTTTTATTGTGTTACCCCATGCTGTGTTTTAAATGAGTCAGGTCAAGTGCAGTTATACTGCTAAAACAAATAACCCTAAAAAATCTTAGTAGCTTATAAAGAAATTGACTTCTTTCTCATTGTGTATGACCAGTTTCAGAAGGGCTGTGCTTAATGTGTTTACCTAATCTGTAGAAGGATTAATCTTGAATCGTGCTTCCAGAATCATCATCATCATCTTGGTGGGGAAAGAATGCATGAATCCATGCCTACTTTAAGAGCTTTTTTCAAGTGTGATGCACATTATTGAATTCATAGACTAGAAACTGATAGGAGTCACATGACTCATGCCTTAAAGGGTACAGGGACATGCAGTCCCACTGTATGCCTGAAAGTCAGGAGCTTGACGTGCCCACTTCTGTCTAGGCTAGATTATTGTTGGGGAAGCCATCCATAAGTCTTCCTGGATTATAGCCCCAGGGTTATTTCCCACTGGTGCTACGTGTCTACAGAAGTCAGCTCTGTCTGTACTTGTACACATATGTGGGTTCTGGGACCCTGGCCAACAGCATCTTTATTCTAAACATTGCTGAGAGCAAAGAGTACACAAATCTTAAAGCTTCTTCTGAAAGCAGTTCACGTGGTCAAGCCTGACGTCACAGGGGAAGGGAAGCAAATATTTGTAAATAGAGATGCAATCCACCACACCCTACAATCCACATTCCGTCCATTCCTCAGAGTCTCAGCCACTCCACTTAATATCCCTCCTTCTATATATTTTTATTCTTAATCAAAATGTGAACTGGCCTAAGACATGGCTCAGTGACTTAAGGCGCTTGCTCCCAAGCCTGACAACTTGAATGCAATCATTAAGACCCAAATGGTAGAAGGAGAGAATGGACTCCTTCAAATTATCATCTGACCTACACACACAATAAAGTAAATACACACACACACACACACAATAAAATAAATGTAATTTTATATGAACTGTTCATTTTTCAAGAGTCAGATCAAATAATCACTCCCCTGAAAGCTTTCCCTACCAATCTCCCAACCACAGTGGGTATGTACCTGGAAGAGAGAATGCCTATCACTTTTGAATGTCTTCTTCAATCACTGACTCAAAACCCAGAAACAGTGTTGTTCTTATTTTGTATCTCTCTGTGCTTACTAAGTACCTGGCACATGGAAGGATAAAGGATGCGTGGTAAAAGCTTATTGTTGGATTTTTTAAAAAAGCCTTTGCACATGGAATTATGGAATATTTCAATAGCGAAGTAGAAATTTTACCTGGACTTAATTCATCATATTGGATCATGGCAAATTCCCTACCTGGATGGGTTAGCCTGGGCTTTTCTTCCTGCACTTCTCTGTCTTTGCCAACTTCTTTCCTCTGTCTCTCTAGGCTGCTACACCCTCCCCTCCCTGCAGCCTCTCTCCTCATACCTTCCTTCTGCATCTGGTCTTCTCCAGCCACACCGTCCACTGCTGAATCAGTTGCACTACAACTAAGAATCAGTTTCTAAACTTGAGTGACTTGTTACAAAAGGTTTTCTTACTCTTGCTTCATGTCTGTCAAGGCTGGCAGGGTCTCTAATAATATCACCTTCCTCTGGGACGCAAGCTGGTAGACTGCCCACTTCTAGGAACCTAAACCTCTCTTGATAGAGGGGAAGAGAGATTTGAAGACTCGTGTCTGAACAATTATATGCCTTTGCTTTAAAATGTTACATGTCACTTCTCACAGTTTCATTGGCTAAAACTAGTCTCGTGGCCCACTCAGCCATCAGGAAAGCAGGAAAAACAAAGAGCTGGTAGTATTTGGTGACCAGTCATAATGATTCCCACTCTGGTCTTGGTTCCCCAAAAGTGACAAGCTATTTGTTCCCCTAAGACTCTTTATATGATACCGCCACCCAAATTCCCTGGTCCTCAACTGATTTCTCTTTTTCTTTGGATATTTGTTTAGATGATGAAGCATTCTGTGGCTTCCCTAATGTGTTCACCTCCCACCTAAATTATCATCAGCCGCGCCCCTCCCCCCATTTACAAACTCTTCAAAAGTCCCTATAATTTCCCCTCCTTTCTTTGCTTTTTGAGTGTAGAGCCAGATGAAAGTGAGACCCAGGAATCAGATGGACAGGGCAAGAGATAGATTCCCAACTGAAGGACAGGTCAGGTACAAAGCCACATCAGGCCTCTTGGTGCTTTACCACTGACTTGTTGGGCCTGGGTGAGTAGATAGAAAGGGATTCCTAAGGGACTGGGTAGCCTTGCTTAAATTGCCTTGGAAGTGAGAGTAAACTGCTGAGGTAAGTATGCTTGGGTCCTTCTGCACTCGGCCATTTGCTAGCTCACTTTCCTGTCCATGAAGAGTGAGAAGGCATTGAGATGTGACGAAAAGGACCTCTACCAGGTGTCCTGTAGTGGAAAGCTGAGGCCAGGATGATGGTGATTTCCTCTTAGCAATGAAATTTGTTATTCTGCATTTCTTTGTATAATTGTGTATTTCTGATTTTTCTCCTGAGATCTCTTTAACCTAACCCAGCAGAGGCCAAGCATTGAGAATGCAGCAGGAAATAGTGACTTTGGTGTCTGTAGTATGCTGAGCAGCTAGCATGGTGTTGGACACAGAGAGTGTTAAGTAGATCTTGGTGATTCATCAGTGCTCCTGTGTTGTTGGTTTCGGGCAAGAAGGTCTGTATGACTGGCAGTCACTATTGCCCTTGTAGTGATGGCAGTACACACAAAATATCCATAAAACCCCATGCCCACTAAATAGCCCAAGTCCCAAACATCATCTTCCAAGTTCTGACCTCCCAGGGCAGGCAGCATCCTCGTGCTTAAGTGCTTCTAGTCTTGCAGTGTAGGGCATGATGCTGGGAGCAGGGATGTACTAAACAAGTACTGCTGAGCAGAAGCCGTGGGTGGAAAAGTTAGAAGCCATTATGGCTGACCAATGGACCTCCTGAGGAAAGATGGGCATGTGGTGAGGGGCCTGAAACTATGTTCCATGGAGAAGAGTAGAAGAAACTGGCCTTATTGAGCTGGGAGGAAGGTGGGAAAGATTGAGTCCTTTGAAGAGCTTTCAGATAACGGGGCAACGGTCATGTGGGAGAATTGACTTGCTCTAGATTTTTGAGATCAAAGCTGGGGTAATGGTTAGAAGTTAGTGAAAAGCCTTTGCTGTGTTCAAGCCAGAACTTCTGGAGTAGTTTCTCAGTAGAACAGTTGCTGTACAGATAGAAGTGAAGTTCTGCCACTAGATGCCTTTGCTGCCTCTGTCCAAGATGCTCTCTGCCAGACTCCTTTATGATCTTCTCTGTGAGCCCATACTAATCACAGCAACCGTCACCCATGGTCATGTTAGCAGAAGTCATCCCCCATAGCCTTGTTTAAAATCTGTCCAGCAGTGTTCACCAACATTTGTGGTCTAGATCTGACCCCTTTTTAATACAAAGTTTATAAATCTGGGATGATGTTTTCATGTTGAATGAACATTCTATCAAAGCAACTACTTTCAGTGTCCATAAATCAAAATTCCGTGTATTTAGAATCACTGAAGAAGACTGGGTATGGCCATCTGCCTCAGGAAAGCTTCTTAGCATGCACTGGGCCTTCTCCTTTCTCACCTGTCCATATAGCTAGTCTGTGTTTGTGGGTTCCTTTGTGAACAGGCATGCCTGAGTTTTAGCCAGTACAAATAGGATGAATGTGATGTGTATGTATTTAGAAGCTTGTTTCAGAAAGTCTTCTCCTCATGTTCCTTGGTAATGCAAGGTACTTCAAGGACATACAGAAGAACAGAGCCACAGATAGAAGGAAGCTTGATCTCTGAATGGCCCCATGGAAGGATGTTCACTGACTAGAAGTAGTCCTGCTGGATTCTGAATGAGCAATCAATTTCACTGTGCTGGTTCACTGGAATTTTGGAGTGAAGGTGATAATGTCTTTTTATTCTAGTTGGTGCTATTAGGACACCCTCCCTGAGCTAGGTTGAAGTTGGGGCCTTTGTCTTGCCTGTCCCAGCTTGAAAAGAAAGACTATCACCGGGCGGTGGTGGCGCACGCCTTTAATCCCAGCACTCGGGGAGGCAGAGCCAGGAGGATCTCTGTGAGTTTGAGGCCAGCCTGGGCTACAGAGCGGGATCCAGGAGAGGCACAAAGCTACACAGAGAAACCCTGTCTCGAAAAACCAAAAAAAAAAAAAAAGAAAGACGATCGTACTACTATATACTGTTATTTCCCATTGAGTTTGTAAGCTTAATGAGACATGTCTTCATCTTTTTTTTTTGTATTTAACCTTTGAGTGGGCATTTATTGAAATGCCAGGTTCTTTGGGGGAGGGGGATTTCAGAATACAAGTATCCCATATTGTTAAATATTTTATTAATTTCAATATTTTTGAGTGTTTATTGTCTATTAGCCACTGGCACTCGTTGCTAAACAACAGTTTCCGGGCATGCCCACTGGTTGAGGCATAGCAAGGGAAATGCATAAGAGGGAAGATAAGATGAGCCCAGCGTGATAATGCTCTGGGTTACACGAGTCCTGGGTGGAAGGGCCTCTGTCAAGGATAGAAGTTGAAGAAAGTGGAGACATTAGTTAATAAGAATCTTCCAAAGTAAGTGGAAATAGCCAGGAGAAAAGGAGGCAGCAAAGAGAAGAGGAAGAGGGGATGTGTTCATGAAGGCTTAGCTGTTAGGGACCAGGGCATATTTGGAGCTGTAAAAGAGGGATGGAAAAGAGGGACTTGGGATGTGTGTGTGTGTGTGTGTGTGTGTGTGTGTGTGTGTGTGTGTGTGTGTGTGTGTACGTACATGCTTAAATGCCTTGGTCAGCTTTGCAATGTGGTCAATTGTCATATGTAAAATGTTTGTTTCCCTGGGAGCAGATGTGTCGTAGCCATCAAGATGTTGACACTTGTGGTATTTGTGTAGTTTCTACTTTCTTCATTATGCTACCTTCTTCATTTCAGAGTTTTCAACAGTGAACATGAATTACACTTGCAATTCAAATAAAAACATTTTTTCATCTGATTGGCTGTGACTCTATCTTCCATCTTTTGAAGGGTCTTTAAAGTCAAGTCCTCTGAGAGAGCGAGGGTCCAGAGCTGATTCATAGTGAAGGTAGCTTTAAACTTCGGGTGACCGCTTTCATTCTCTTCACCTCTCCATTGCATTTCCTTCCCGGGATGGGGCTTCTAAAAAATAACAGTGGTTTTGCTAATCACAGACAGTGCCTTGTGTGTTTGTGTGCATGGAGTGTGCAACGTGGGGAAATCAAGACAAAGATTCCCTGATGCTTCCCTACTTAAGGACCTTCTCTGCACAAAAGATGGTTCTCAGTCCACTGGGCTGCAGGGACTTTTCTGTGACACTGCTACGATCATTCCTGCTGATTTGGCAATTAGGGGGAAGCAACTGATAATGTTGTAAAGCATCAGGAACCACTGTTCCCAGTAGTTCTTTCAGCCCACATCTTCCTCCAGCATCCTGGCACATGGCTCAACAATGATGATGTTTCCAATGAACATCCAAATACTTGGAAGTCTGGAAGCACTGGATCAGCATTTTCTGTCTTGTTGGAACAGCGATCAACAACCTCAGAGACAACATGAGTTTGTTTTCTGTGCTTACCTATTTCCAACTTCATCCAGGCCCAAATGTATACCATTGAGACCCCAACTGGAAGAACCCTGCCTGAGATACTTCTGGTGTGTGCCACAGAAGAGATACAGTTATACCACTGAGTGATGCTTAAAACTTTGCCCAGAGATCACTGCTATTCATCTTCTGTGGGCTAAAGCATGTCACAAAGGTGAGCCTGACACAGAGGAAGAATCTGGAGTCTGATAGGGAGGTCAGCTGATATTTAGCAATATGAATCTTAGATTCTTTACCTAGAAAATGAAATTAGGTAAAACAAACTAATTATATAGTTTATTTGGATATTATAATTCAAACCATGGAATACCATGTTGAAAGATGGAATGCCACTTTGAAAGATGGATTGTCTTGAAAATATGAGCTGATCTGGAGGAGCCCATTGATGGCTTTAAATGAGCAAAGCAAGCTAAGGCCATAAATGAGACCATGTAAACATGGTTTTATTTTTGGATAAATCATGTATGGTGGTACATATCTGTAATTCCATAATTTAGGAGGCTGAGACAGAGGATTGCTATGTTTGAGGCCTGCCTGGTCTACACAGTGAATTCAAAAGTGTCTCAACAAAACAAAACGAAAAACCCAGAAACCAAACCAAACCACCCTGAAAGTGTATGAATATACTGGTACGAGATTATTAATAAAAATGCCTCATAAGCACTTACTTCTTGTGGACAGTATTATATTAAGTGTTTTGTGGTTTTGTTTTTAACATATATTTGCTCATTTAATCCTGGAATTAGAAAAGAGAGAAGGAAATAGCTTGTACCAGATGGTTATTAGCCACTTTAATTGGAGGGGAGGAGAGTTTGCACCTGCAACCACCCTGAATGTGCCTAATCTTGTCTGATCTCAGAAGCTAAGCAGGGCTGGGCCTGGTTAGTACTTGATGGGAAAGGGGATTGTTCTTTAAAACTGAGATGATTTCTTTTAAGTTTGTGTTGTGCAAAATGGGTCAACTTACCAGCAATTATCAGGAAACAAACCACCACAAAAATCTAAGCTTCATCCAGCCCTGAGCATTTAATATTCTGCTCATTGGCCTGTAGTCAGTTGAGGTGGCTTAGCCTTCCCCAGGCCCTCATTCAGTCTTTTCTGCTGTCCACCATGCCTTCCAACCACCCCTGTGGTTTTCTAAGTCACGATGGCTTTTCCTGGAATTGCTGCCTTGATGCAGTATTGCATGCATATGTAATATGCAAGCTGGAGAAGTTGGACTTTGGGTAAAACTCAGGGCTTCCTGATGGGTCTCATTCTGGATCTCTGCTAGAGAGGCAGCCTCTATGGGGGATACACTTTCAGGGCACAGAACATGGTAGGTGGGAACACACTAAGCATTTCAAGGCCCAGGCTTAGTTCTGGTGTGTTGTCATTGTCTGAAGCATGTCATGTGGCCAAGTTTCATATCAATGGAGCTGGGAAGTCATGGAGGTTGTATAAGGAAGGAGGGAGTATTTTCTGAATAGTAATATACCATGGTAAACATAACACCAAAACAATAAAGCAAGGAGAAAGAGCATTTACCAAGGAGTTTGTGTTCAGCATCACCTGAAGTACTATGCGTTTTGTAAAACTACACACTCTGTTATTACAGTGGACACAGTGATGCAAATATGGACATTCAACCAGAGTGCTTACTGCCTGGCACAGCAGGTAAAAGTTGAAACCAGCTTGGCTTATGAAGCTTCTGGTGTGACACTAATAATAAGCAAAAACCAGAGGCCATCGGCTTATACTGTTGCTACTTGTCATAAAGTCCCACCTTCCAGAATTGGAAGGATCAGGTGCCTATGATAAACAGGTGCCTCCCAACTTACAGAAAGTTGCTTTTGCCAAAATGGTCATTCTGGGCAGGGTTTGTCTACACTGCTAGAAAATGATTTGTCACTGAAATCCCCCGATGTGAATTAACTGAGTGACACAATAACTTGGTGGCCAAAAATAGAATGGAAAGTCAGGTATGATGGGTGTATCTAGAGTCTTTGATTGTTGCTTCGCATAACCCAGCCAGCAAATATTTAGGTCAGTTGGGAATCTTCACTAGGTTCTGAGAAGCTCTTTAAAAACTGCAGTGTCATCTTCTATTGCTTCCTCAAGCCAAAGAGAACCAAGTGCTTCTTAGAGCAGCCACAGGGGAGCCCTGAATTAGCATACCCAGTGATCCAGAACATTAAAGAGCTGGGGAGGTGACTCAGCACTTAAGAGTACCTGCTGCTCTTGCAAAGGACCCAGGTTTGGTTCCCAGCACCAACATAGCAGTTCACACCCATCTGTAACTTCAGAACTCCGGGGGTTCTGACACCTTCTTCTGGCTTCTACAGACACCAGGTATACATGTAGGCATAATCTGAGAGGGGTGGTGGTGAGGGGGGAGGGAGAGAGGAGAGAGATTAATTTTCTTAAAATGCTGGCCAGGAAATCAGGTGTGTTCTAATTTCCATTCTCTTCCAAGTAGTTTGGAAAGTATGGCTAATATGAGAATCAATCAAACACTCCCCCACACAAATGTCTTAGGCAGTAGTTTGTCAGGGTCAGACTCCTCAAATTTCAGTCACTCACCCATCAGCTTTTCCATTTTATATGTTCACTTACATATCTAAAATCTATTTAATTCTTCTCTTTATATGTCTTACTTGTCCAATAACATGCATAGATGTTATTGGATTGTGTTGGGAACTATAATTCATTGATTACAAGTAATTGGTTGCTCAAACCTTTAGGCAAGTGTAAATATAAATGCAAAATCATTAAGTAGATTTGTTCATGCATGATTGAACATTGTCTCTAATTGTAAAAGTGTTAGAGATCCTCTGTTGATAGGGTAGAAAATTATGAACTTTGGAATCAGGGTGACTTAGGTTCAAACTAAAACTCTGGTCCCAAGTGGTCAGCCCTAAACATATGTACATACATACAAACAAAAGTAAGTGGACTCAGTGGTGTGTGTGTGTGTGTGTGTGTGTGTGTGTGTGTGTGTGTGTGTATGTGTGTGTGTGTGTGTGTGTGTGTATGTGTGTGTGTGAACAATAATTGAAGAGAGATCATGAATTTGAGAGAGATTGGGGAGGGTGAGATGGGAGGAGCTTGGTTGGAAGAGAGGAGGAGGAAATGATGTAAATACAGCACTCCTGTATGAAATAATAATAATAATAATAAAGTTATAAATGCATTTCCCTCCCAGTAATTTATTTCACTTTGATAATTTTCTTCAGTGGCTGAGCACCAATTTTGCATATATAAAACTGCATAATAAAAGCTATCTTACACCTATG